TACTCACTTATCTCACAGATTGTTTTCTTGGTCTGGGGCACTTTCTTAGGCTCTTCTGTAAGGGCTTGTTACTGGCAGGCAACTTGATATTTTTTTAATCCTATCACACCCTCAAGAGGGGAAAATTGATGTCAATTACAGGACCTGTCACCAGATTCAATGGGTCGATGTATCGCTTGGGGTGCATAGCCAATGGACCACCAGCTACTGATTAAAGTAGAAGTGTTTCTTACTTGTGACAAGGACACAGGGAGAAACTCTCAAAAACTGTTTTTCTGAACAGCAGGATCAGGGAAATTTTGTATCTGGGGTGCATGGCTATTCATGAAATGGAAGGCTTGGTCTTCCAAATAGAATGGGTTTCTCTAGCGTGCCAAAAATGGCTAGCAAACAAGTGCTTGGTTGTTTGCTCATACTGTGGTTATCTTGTTGATTGGAATGCACTGTATCTTTTGTGAAACATCTGGTATTTGGACATTTTTGCAACTTTTTGCAATGGTTAGTTTCTTCAAAACAATTCATACCTTGGTTTAAACTCCATCAGTTCCCTGCTGCTGCCTAGCTAACAGATTTTTCCCACACTGGGCATGTTGTACACAGTGTACATCCACCTTTGCTGGGGGCCAGTCAAGAAACATTATGGAATTATATCTGCTGTCAGTCACTCTGTGGCCTACCTTGTACATCAGGGTCACAGCTGGAATCAGAGGTAGTGTACCTTCAAGTAGGCAGTGCCTTTGGCAGCTGGGTCTTCTTTGGTGACCCAACTAGACTCCTAGGCCCATTCCTATATAGGCAAGTGGAACATGTGGTTTCCAATGAGTGATTCAATGCTGGAATACTATAAACAAATAATTTTAAATGTCTTTAAAATTATGTGATTTAAACCAACAGTAATATAATTTAATGACTGAAAACTTTCAAGAATGAGAAGATATTTTTCAGTGAGGACACCTATATTAAGCACAGACAAAAAATAAAGTTAGGGTCAGTTCAAATATCTTGAGTTGTCTCATCAGAGAAGCTACTAGCTTCCCTAACTAACCCTTATGTGAGGCACAGAAAAAAGACTGGGCCAGGTCCAGCTTTCTCACCTTGTTCTTAAATGACATCTTATTAAATCTTGTAATGATTTGAGATAGTGGATTTTTTCCCCCTAGGTCCAAAAGTAGGAGGAAGAGCTGAAAGGGATGAGAAAGTGATGCATTCATCATTATAACAAATATTTATATAGAGCTAGCCATTCATCAGATTTTGCTGTATCCCTGTTCCTGGTAAAAATATCAAAGAAGCTCTTTTCATCATGGTACTCGGGCAGAACACTAAAGGATTGGCAAGCAGTGGTGGTATAAATGTAGTGACAGCCAGTTTTTACTGAGACTTCTACACAGGCTCAGGTAATTTATGACACGTGTGCTATAAGGGAGGACTTGTCATCAGCAATTAACAAAACCACATCTCAGATCAGGAATTTCCACAGTGTTCCAGAACCAGAGACGACAAATTCAGGATTCAGAGCTGCATCTGTGTCACCCCAGTTGGCAGTGCCTTCTCTTCTCATCTCACACTGTCAGGGAAAGGGAAGCATGGAGTCCCAGGGATGTGCCACGAGGAATGAAGCACAGCAGGGCTGGAGAAGGAGCGTGGAGATAGTTTAGGAAGTGCTGTAGGATGCTCTCAAACATCAGAAGAAGGGAGCTACCGTGCTGACTCAGTACAGCTGAAAAATGAGACAAGCACCAGTCAGGAGTGGGTAGAAACAAGCTGAGCCACTTTGTGATCTGAGTGTCTTTGTAGGTGGTGTGGGGGGTGGGGGGGTGCATAAAGGAAACAGTCTCTTCTTTAAGGACCAGCCAACAACTGAGGTTTGGATTTGCATAAAACTAGATTATAACCTTTGCTTCATCAGTTATTCATTCCGAGACATTTGGTAATTGAATTTTAAGAAGTTCACTTTTCGCATTTGTAAAAAAAGGAAAAAAAAAGGTGTTATTACATTTATCTGATTGAGTTATTATGGGATTAGATTATATAATGCCTGTAAAAAGTTCAGCCATTGCCTCTCATAAAAAGCAATCAGAAAATGGTCTCTATGATTATTTTTTGTTTTCCACTGTCCCTGGCAACAAATAACTTCATGCGTACATACTTGCTTGCATTAATAATGATTGTCTTTGCTATATGTTCAAAAGAGGATGTGTTTCCTGCTCAAAGTCTGAATGGTACACTTCCTTGTACAGGATTTATTTCAACCATCCCTATTTCCCCATATCAACTACAGCACTGTGCTTGACTCAGGTCTTTTCCCACAGTTGCCTTGTGTAAAAGCTGTGGAGTTGGGAGAGCTCTGAAGTAGAAGTCACAAGATAGCCTCTCCCTGTCATATAATTTTTTAAAATTGAGATACAATTCATATACCGTTTCAAGGTATACAAATAAGGTGTTTTTTTTTTAATCACAAGGATGTTCACTAGCACCACTGTCTAATTCCAGAATATTTTCATCACCCCCTCAAAGTGACTCCACATGCATTAGTAGTCATTCTCTATTCCCCATCCCACCAACCTGTGGCAACCACTAATCTACTTTGTGTGTCTGTAGATTTGCCTACTCCAGATTATTTTTAAATTTTATTTATTTATGCTGCACTGGGTCTTCATTGCTTTTGCGTGGGCTTTCTCTAGTTGCAGCAAGTGAGGGTTACTCTTCATTTTGGTGTGCGGGCTTCTCACTGTGGTGACTTCTCATTGCGGAGCACAGGGTCTTAAGTGCATGGGCTTTGGTAGTTGCAGCACACGAGCTCACTTGTGGCATGTGATCTCTAGGGCACGGGCTCAGTAGTTGTGGCACATGGACTTTGCTCCGCTGCGTGTATAATCTTCCTGGACCTGGGATGGAACCTGTGTCTCCTGCATTGTCAAGTGGGTTCTCATCTATGCCACCAAGGAAGTCTTAGACATTTCTTATAAAAGGAGTTATATAATATATGATCTTTTGTATCTGGTTTTACTCACTTAGCGTGTTTTCACAGCTCATCCATGTTATTAAAGGCGTCAATTCTTCATTCCTCTTTTTCCTCCATTTTTATCCTTTTCTCCTATTAGCGATTCTGAAATACTTTTCCCAAATGGTATAAGAACTCTTTGTCCCAAATACCCCACCTGCACACTTCTGCCTAGGTCTGCTCTCGGTGAATTATCCTATCCCTACACCATATGTGACCTCAACTGCCCACCTGTCTCTTCCTCTCCTATTCACATGGGCCCCTTAAGCCTCCTGCTAGAGTTTTGGACAGGCCTGGTAAAGTCTTGTCCCCAAAGCACCAGGTCTGTGTCGGACTTGGAGCACCCATAAGACCATCTTTGCAGTCCATGGGGTCTCAAAGAGTTGGACACGACTGAGCAACTGAACTGAACCTAACACCATCTTTCCTGGAGAAGGAAATGGCAATCCACTCCAGTATTCTTGACTGGAGAATTCCATGGACAAAAGAGCCTGGCAGGGTACAGTCCATGGGGTCCCAAAGAGTTGGACATAACTGAGCGCTAACACAAACACACCACCATCTTTGGGATTAAAGTTACAAGATTGAGGATGGAGCTTTGAACTAGGACTCTGGACGTGAGAAGTGTTGCCGGCTCTGTGATTTACAAGCTGTGTGATTTTTATCAAGTCACTTAGTTTCTCTGTTTATCAAAAGGCCAAAAATAATTTATTCATAGTTTTCCTATGAGGGATAAAGCAGGGGAATGTGGTTTTGAAATCACAACTGGTTATAAAAGTGTTGGTTGTAAAGATACGACATCACCTTATTGTGGTCATTGTCATTTCTTTGGGTTTTTCTGGGAAAGTGACTGTGAAAGATGAAAGGGCTCTTTGTAAAGCTCTGCTAGAAGGTGGTCATGTCTTCCCAATAAATGATAACCTTTGAATTTGGAGATTAGATCCTGGAGAGCCATGCCAGCAGGATGGCAAAGAGAGGTGAAGAAGCTGATGAGAAAGATCTAATCATCTATGGAGAGATGAGGAGGTTCTAGTTTTCTTCATCAAAAGTTGAGGACCTGTGTGTCAGGCACTAAACTCATTCAGTAATAAGCAAAACAGTCCCTGATCTCATGGAGCTTATATTCCAGTGGGAGGATTCAGACAAATAAAGATGCGTATTGTTGTTTAGTTGCTTAGTCATGTCTGATTCTTTGTGACCCCATGAACTGTAACCCACCAGACTCCTCTGTCCATGGGATTTCCAGGCAAGAACACTGGAGGGGGCTGCCATTTCCTTCTCCAGGGGATCTTCCTGACTCAGGTATCAAACTTGCATCTCCTGCATTGGCAGGCAGGTTCTTTACCACTCTGCCACCAGGGAAGCCCCCCAAAAGAAATGTATTAGGTGGTGATAAAAAGAAAAATCAAGCCATTGGGTCTATGGAGAATGATGGTGTGGGTGGCTGTGCCTTAGCTAGGCTTGACAGAGAAAACTCTTCTGGTAAGTAAACGTGTAGGGAGAGAGTTGAAGGAAGTTAGAGAGTCATGTGGATACCAGGGTGAAGGGGCTTCCTTGCAGTAGGAACAGCAAGTGCAAGCATCCTGAGGCAGCAGCATGTTCTGGTGCTTTGAACATTGAGGATGTGTGTTGGTGGGCTGAGAAAAGGTTAAACAGATGGTGACTCACCCAAGGCCACTTCTCTCCAGGATCTCATTGTCCCTTTATCCAGTGAGTAAAAAGAAATTGTTTTATTGCTATAATGAGGACCTCATTGCTATAATGAGGGTGCAAATTGATGTCTAATGTGAGGCAGGGGCAAAGAACATGTTTGAAGTTAGAATGAGAAGTTCCCATTACCCCAGTGCCTGACCTCTTTATCCAGGTCAGCTTCCCTTTGTCTCCCTCATTTCTTACCCTGAACCCTTTTTTGTTTGCCCATCTACCCAGGATTCTAAACGCTGGAAGCACCTTAGAAGTCAGGGCTGGCCAGGCAGAGGCCAGGAAAGTAGCTACAATGACTTCAGCAGTCCTGGTGGACATCCAAGATGAAGTGACCTGCCCCATCTGCCTGGAGCTCCTGACCGAACCCCTGAGCATAGACTGTGGACACAGCTTCTGCCAAGCCTGCATCACTGCAAACAACAAGGAGTCCGTGCCTGGCCAAGATGGGCAGAGCAGGTGTCCCGTGTGCCAGACCAGCTACTGGCTTGGGAACCTGCGGCCCAATCGGCACCTGGCCAACATAGCCGAGAGGCTCAGGGAGGTGGTGTTGGGCTCAGGGAAGCAGCTGAAGGTGATTCTTTGTGCGCACCATGGAGAGAAACTCCAGCTTTTCTGTGAGGAGGATGGGAAGCTCATTTGCTGGCTTTGCGAGCGGTCTCAGGAGCACCGTGGTCACCACACATTCCTCATGGAGGAGATAGCCCAGGAGTACCAGGTGGGGGCCCAGGTGGAGGGAAGACAGGCAGGAACAGACTGCTTGGTAGATTTTAACTTTTCTTTCTGCTCTAATCTAATTTCTTTGCAGTCCTCTCATTTACCTAGAGGGTGAACCTAGAAAAAGCCCTTCTGACTAAGAGCAGAGACCGTCTCTTTCTTGCTTACCATGATTGGCTCTGCATGTGTAGAGACTGCTGCTGAAGGCCAGCAGAGGGCTAGACAGGGTGAGTGCAGGGGGTATATTGGCAGTGAGAGTAAAGAACTTAAAGTGATTCATAGTCAGGTGGTTCCCCTGCAGAAAAGAGAATGTGCCTATTCTCACTGCTTTCTATCCCTTGTTTGTAAAAGGTAACTTTGACCGTCTCAGCTTTTCATTCCAGGGCTGGCATCTCCTGAGGTCAGCGTAATCTCTCCCCCACTCATTCCGTGTCTTGGCACTGAGACAGTTTGACACTTGATCCTACTTGACTTGATGTGTTTCTTCCAGGAGAAGTTCCAGGAGTCTCTGAAGAAGCTGAGGCAAGAGCAGCAGGAAGCCGAGAAATTAACAGCTGTTATCAGAGAGAAGAGGACGTCCTGGAAGGTAAGAGATTCTTCTGAAGGTGTTCTGGAGCAGAAATCAAGCCAGGGCATGGAGCTGAGGGCAAAGGAGACCCAGTTTTGTCTGTTTCCCAGTTTGGCTAGATAAGCTTCCCTTTGCCCAGTTCTTCACTGCAAGCCTTCCAAACAAGGGTATTGTTCTTGGTGCACAGTAAGGGGGAGAGAAGGGGGAATAGAAATGAACATATCAAAGGGAATCTAGGTTTCTGAAGATAAGTATATGGGAAAATAACCATAGTCATTGGCAGCCCTTAATTAAGGATTCTGGACCTTGTTCTATAGTTTTAAAAGTTGGAAAAAATAGGTCAGGCACAGGCCAGTCATTATATCAATATTGAAAACTGGAAGAAGAGGCTGATGCCAAGTCCTGACAGGCCAGAGAGGTTGTTTGGAAACTGAACCACCCCCAGGAATCAAAGTCTCCGTCTTAGAAGCCTAGATAAGGCAGCCTGGGACCAGTGGTCCGAGAAGAGCTGAAGGGAGAACAGGAGGAAAGAGCAGGTTCTGCAGGGCCTACTCCCCCATTTGCTCCTCCATCCTAGTGAGACCTTCCAGGAAAACAATGCTGAGCCTGCCTCCCCCACCCCTCCGCCCCTTATACAGGAGACCCTCAGCTCAACAGACTAGCAGCCTCTTTTTTTCCCTTGTTCCTTAAGAATCAGATGGAACCTGAGAGACACAGGATCCAGAAACAGTTTGATCAGTTGAGGAGCATCCTGGACAAAGAGGAGAAGCGACAGCTGAAGAAGCTGGAGGAGGAGGAGAGGAGGGGGCTGAACATCATAGCAGAAGCTGAGGTCGAGCTGGTCCAGCAGAGCCAGTCCCTGAGAGAGCTCATCTCAGACCTGGAGCGCCGTTGTGAGGGGTCAGCAACAGAGCTCCTGCAGGTAAGAATGGGAAAGGGACCGGTGATCTGAGAGTCAAGACCAAGAGAAGATAACTCTCCTTCCTTTCTGATGTGGGACTCCTATCCTGGTGGAGGAAAGAAAAAAAAAACTCTCCTCTGAGAGAATAGCATTGAAACATGTATATAATCTAGGGTGAAACAGATCGCCAGCCCAGGTTGGATGCATGAGACAAGTGCTGAGGGCTGGTGCACTGGGAAGACCCAGAGGGATGGGATGGGGAGGGAGGGGGGAGGGGGGATCGGGATGGGGAACACATGTAAATCCATGGCTGATTCATGTTAATGTATGGCAGAAACCACTACAATATTGTAAAGTAATTAGCCTCCAACTAATAAAAATAAATGAAAATAAATAGATATTTTAATGCAGTAATAGACAACTAAAAAAAAAAAAGAAAAAAATCTCCTTTGATCATATAGTGCCTCTTCGCTATTAGACAGTTCAAGGTTTAACCGTGGATAAAGCACAGGGTAATTAAAAGTACAAATGCTAAGGGATTGTCTCATTTTTATTTCCTATATATAAAGGATACAAAAGTTCATTTAATACTATGTCAAAGATCTCATATAGTGAGTGATATTTTATAGCATCATTTCTCAGTCTTGGTACTATTGATTTCTGATGCTGTGTTGGGATTGGTCAGGTTCCTTTCACCCAGATTAGTCACAGGCATACACAACCAAACTCAAGTACTTTAGAGATTTTTTTATGTAATCACCAGCCCTTCTTTGCTGTGACTCTCTTTTTTAGGACAGAATCATTGAACATGTTGTAATAGAAGTTCAAACAGAAGTTTTGAGGCACAAAGAAAGAACTCTGGTCTCTGTGTGTATATAGACTGGGAGAGTGCAAGCTGTCAAATCCAGAAATCTGATAGAGAGATTTGAACTGAGGTGGAAGTCTGAGTGGCTATTTCTTCATAGAGTGAATAGAGTGACTGTTAAGTTGAAGCAGGATGCACCTTGAGACATTCTGAAACCTTCAGGCTGTTCCTCATTTTCTGTTTGGTTTCTTGCTTTCCTCTTGCTGTCTTTCCTAGTGGAATAATCATTTATTTACTTAATTTTGGGCCCTAGTATTGGGGTCAGTTCAGTTCAGTTCAGTCACTCAGTCGTCTCTGACTCTGTGACCCAAGCACGCCAGGCCTCCCTGTCCATTGCCAACTTCTGGAGTTTACTCAAACCTCATGTCCATTGAGTCGGTGATGCCATCCAACCATGTCATCCTCTGTCATCCTCTTCTCTTCCTGCCTTCAATCTTTCCCAGTGTCAGGAATCAGGGTTTTTTCAAATGAATCAGTTCTTCGCATCAGGTGGCCGAAGTATTGGAGTTTCAGCTTCAGCATCAGTCCTTCCGATGAATATTCAGGACTGGTTTCCTTTAAGATGGAAAGGTTGGATTTCCTTGCAATCCAAGGGACTCTCAAGTTTTCTCCAACACCACAGTTCAAAAGCATCAATTCTTTGGCCCTCAGCCCTCTTTATAGTCCAACTCTTACATCCACACATGACTACTGGAAAATCCATAGCTTTGACTACACAGACCTTTATTGGCAAAGTAATGTCTCTGATTTTAAATATTATGCTGTCTAGGTTGGTCATAACTTTTCTTCCAAGGAGCAAGTGTCTTTTAATTTCATGGCTGCAGTCACCATCTGCAGTGATTTTGGAGCCCCCAAAAATAAAGTCTGCCACTGTTTCCACTGTTTCCCCATCTATTTCCCATGGAGTGATGGGACTAGATGTCATGATCTTAGTTTTCTGAATGTTGAGTTTTAAGCCAACTTTTTCACTCTCTTCTTTCACTTTCATCAAGAGGCTCTTTAGTTCCTCTTCACTTTCTGCCATAAGGGTGGTGTCATCTGCACATCTGAGGTTATTGATATTTCTCCCGGCAATCTTGATTCCATCTTGTACTTCATCCAGCCCAGCGTTTCTCATGATGCATATAAGTTAAGTAAGCAGAGTGACAATATACAGCCTTGACATACTCCTTTCCCTATTTGGAACCAGCCTGTTATTCCATGTCCGAATCTAACTGTTGCTTCCTGACCTGCCTACAGATTTCTCAGGAGGCTGGTCAGGTAGTCTGGTATTCCCATCTCTTTCAGATTTTTCCTGTTTGTTGTGATCCACACAGTCAAAGGCTTTGGCATCATCAATAAAGCAGAGGTAGATGTTCTTCTGGAACTCTGTTGCTTTTTCGATGATCCAGCGGATGCTGGGAATTTGATCTCTGGTTCCTCTGCCTATTCTAAATCCAGCTTAAACATCTGGAAGTTCACGGTTCATGTGCTATTGAAGCCTGAGTTGGAAAATTTTGAGTATTACTTTACTAGCATGTGAGATGAGTACAATTATGTGGTAGTTTGAGCATTCTTTGGCATTGCCTTTCTTTGGGATTAGAATGAAAATTGACCTTTTCCAGTCCTGTGGCCACTGCTGAGTTTTCCAAATTTGCTGGCATATTGAGTGTAGCACTTTCACAGCATCATCTTTTAAGATTTGAAATAGCTCAACTGGAATCCATCACCTCCGTTAGCTCTGTTCGTATTGGGATCATCGGGTAGTTCGTATTGGGGTCATGGGGTCATGGGGTAGTTGTTTTCCACCTCTTGGAGCTTTTCCTCATTCACTGCTTCTGGTTTCATGTCTTTAGCTTATTCTTCTTGCTTTTTTCTTCATCTTTGATGTTGGGCTGCCCTAATGCTTGCTTCTAACCCCTTTACAAGTGTCCTCAAACTGGAAACATGCTTCATAAGTACAAATGGATAATCAGTTTGTTTAATAGTTATTTGAGGAACCCGCTTTCAGTTTGTTTAATAGTTATTTGAGGAACCCACTCGACTCTTCTACCCAGAACACCCAACGGCCGTTTTAACTAGAGTGTTATCTTAGTCAATTTTCATAGGACTTGCCCATCACAGACATTTCCTCCTTCTCTTTTCCATTATCTGTTTAACATTGTTGTGCATGAAGATTTGACAGCTGGATACGTGCCTGCAGCTTTCAAGTTTCAAAATGTGAACCCTGAGAATAAAGTTAAGCTAAGAGGAAGAGGCATGAAGTGGCACCCTGACTTTATCATTTGAGTGTCTTTAGGACTTCCCTGTAGCTCACACGGTTAACCTGCCTGTGATGCAGGAGACCAGCGTTTGATCTCTGGGTTGGGAAGTTCCTCTGGAGAAGGGAATGGCAATCCACTCCAGTATTCTTGCCTGGAGAATCTCATAGACAGAGAAGCCTGGCAGGCCACAGTCTGTGAAGTCGCAAAGAGTCGGACACGACTGAGCGACTAACACACACACACATTATAAGTATGCCTTAAGATTAATACAGTCTTGGGACTCCCCTGGTAGTCCAGTGGTTAAGACTCCGTGCTTCCACTGCAGAGGGTGCAGGTTCAATCCCTGGTCAAGGAACTTAAGATCCCACATGCAGTGTGATATAGCTAAAATAAAAATTGTTACAAACCTGAGTCTACATCTGCC